ATAAATAGGGCATGTAAGGCTTTACTATTCCAATGACATTCATCTAAGTTCACTCTAGTCCAATTAGCAACAGGTATAAGGATTACTTCATTATTAACCGTGGAACTAGGTGCAGCCAAACCATTCACAACACTAAGCTAGAGACGCTCATCAATTGATTTTTAAAAAGCTCTCATCCTAAGCTTCCGGTAACATAATTACTGCCATCAAAATATGGCGGGACGGATAATGAATTACACATCTAGATAATATGGTTGTTACTTATCTATTTTTAGTTTTGACCATATGTACGAAATTAATCAATCAAAAGCAACAAGTCATTTTTAATTGTTTCTAGATGATTAAGCATACAAGTTCAATTATCCTATGTTTGAATATCGCAGTAATAAAGAAATCAATAATAAACACCAATATGATGAAGGAGAAATCCAACTGGGTAAAAACTCCGAGACCAAGCCAGTTACCTCCACTATAGACAATACAGAGCGAGTTACAATCAGATGCTATCTAGCTAACTCCACTAGACTTTCCGATCTATTTCCTACTAACTCCAAGGTTTGCTTCAAGACCTACTCTAAGATCTTCTGCAATTCTCTCTTCCAATTAGAATTTCAAGAACCTACTCCAAGGCCTTGTGTTTTTCCTGCTTTTGTAGCTCAACCTCTCTCAACCTTCAGCAGCCTCTGAAGTTCAACTGAGAAAGTGTCTTCCCAAAAGTATTTAGGAAGTAAGTGTTATGGATTCAGTGGATTTAATGTTTTCCCAAAATAGGTGGTTGTATAAAATCAAAAGTGATAGGATGAAATCAATATTTGAATAGGCTCTTGAATATATTGTAAAGAAGAGGCACAATGAACAACCACCTAATTTTCGTGTATATGCTTGAGTATTTATATGAGAGGGTAATTAAGTTGAATGGGTCGGAAAAAATACTTCGAAATTCCAAAACAAGGTTTTCCGAATCGGCAACAGGGATTCTGTTTTTGTCGCTAGAGGGCCAACTAGGCGAGAAATTAGCAAAAATGTGGCGTCGTGTTTCTCTTTTTTTCATGCTTGAATCCTAGACCTCATAACTCAATTTGTACAAATTGCACCTTAGGTCCTTGACTTTTACAATAACGTTACAAATTAGTCATTTTATCCACAAAATTGCCAACACTAAAAATCTAACTAAAAAAAAAGTGAATTTTTAGACAATAGGGCTGAAACATGAACTTAATATTTAGCGGGGGAACTTTTAACTTAATGTCTTCATATCTTTGTCCCTATCTTCTTGACCTTTTGATTGACACAATATTATAATGTTGAAGTGAGCGGAATACAATTATTAGTTTGAGCTTCCATTCGGATTATTTTCTCGTGAATGGAAAAGGTCACGAAACTTTGAATGCTCATTTGGATTGCTTTGTCATAAACGAAAAACACATAAGATTTTATTGCGAAGAGGTTTTTAGACGTTTTATGTAATGTAGAATTTGAATAGTTTCATAAGAGTATAATCTTCCTAGCCAAAGCAACAAAAGTGCTAGTTCTAATAGATGTCTAAAAGACAAAGGAAAAAAAAAAAAGAACAAGAACAAGACAAACATGTCATTATCACTAGCCATCCAATTTTTTTATTTTTTATTTTTTTTTATTTTGGGAAAAAACATGCCATATACCCGACTTAAAGAAAGCATTTCCTAATGGGTAATTATATTCACACCACAACTTTTATTCTCTCCACCAAATTTTAATTGTACTCGAGGTTCTTAATCTTTGCTTATTATAGTATTTATATTCCTAATGATTTTTCATGTCATTTTTATCCTCAATTTTTTCATTAGTTAACATATTTTGTATTTTATAACAATTTTATGTCTAAAAATCCGTTGCAATGGTGTTAAAAAAAACTTATTTTTCATCATATTTTTAGAAAATAAATAAATAAAAAGTACGCAAAAATATTTTTCCCTCATTTCAAAGCATGAAAACAAAATGTTTTGATATAAATCATCATCAAAGGCGAGACTTACTAATTAATGGAAGGTTGAAAATAAGAATTCGACAAAAAAAAGTTAAGGAAATAATTGCTATAATGAGCAAATATTAAGTAGTTTAATTGTAATTAAAATGTGGTATATTAAATAAAAATTGTGGTGGTAATATAACCACCCCTTCCTAATATACTTGCGAATGATATATACACTAAAAATACTATAAAACGTGTAAAAAACATTAAAAATACTGCTACCCGAATCTTCTATTTTTAGATTTGCACCTAAAATTTTGAATGGCTAATACTACGTCAAACATTAAAGGAAAAGTCTACAAGTACATAATATATATGTAAATAATAGTTTCCATAATGTGATGTGGACAAAATCCTGTTGTTGATGTGAAAGTGTGAGATTTGAATTAATAGTTGGATCCAGTGCCACGTGTAATTGTGGACACCATTATGTGTAGATTTATATACATGTAGCACTTCTCAACATTAAATTGAGATGAGTCATGCTGTTTGCAGACCCATTTGCACAGAATTTGCACAGATTCACACACAGCAGGGGGGTGGGTGGGTTGATTTTTTCAAGGAATAGGCGCAAAACGTCCCTACCTTTGCTTAGTTTTGTGGAAAACGTCCCTACTTTTGATTTTTTGACGCAGAACGTCCCTACCTTTACATTTTCTTGCGCAAAACGTCCTTTTTGACCATTTTACCCTTATATTAACATAAAACAAACTCAAAAGTAAAGAAAAATAAAGAATAAATTGTAATTATGTGTTCAAACTTTTAAAAATGTGCAAATTAGTCACAAATAATAATTAACCATTGGAAAGCAACCCAAAAAGCCAAAAAAGCCAGCTGCATGCGAAACCATTTTCTGGTGCGAAACCCATGGCCGAGGACACCTGCTGGCCACTACCCCACACCTAGACGAGCCCTCCCATGTTGGCAATTCATCTAAAAAATCCCCAAGCAAACTGAATTAATTCTGGAATAGTGCACAGTCGCGATGCTCGTGATCCAGCCTGAGAAAAACCTTAATTCCGGCTCCGTCAACTGCACCCAGGGAGGCGGGGCACATGGGCTAGGTTCTCCCTCACTTGGCGCACCTAGCCCAGTAATGGGTCTCCATCAATTTGACCCCAAGCAACCTGAATTTGATTCTGAAATTCTCGAAGGGGCGAACTCGCGAACACAGAATTTTATTTNGGTGCGAACTCGCGACTGGACTGTCTTTGCTTTGAAATTGGTGGTTGTTGGTTGCTTGTTGGAGGAAATTGTTTACATAGGTAGTTTTGACTTGTTGAGGAGAGTCGACCAGTGGTGGATTCCGGCCGGTTAGGTGGCCGGACGGCGAATTGTGGGTGTTTGACCAATTTTCAGGCTGCTATTTTTGAATTTGATTTTCGGCCAAATTAATTACAATAAGTTATGAGGATTTCTTGGTATGTAGTTGTAGAGGGTAATGAGGAGAACATGTTGGGACCAATATCCGACGGTTTGGGCGGCCGGAAGTAGCCAAAAAATGATCTCATGGATTCGGCTGAAAAGGGGCAAGAGTGATATTTTTTTGTTCTTTTTAATATTTTTATAAGTTTTGGATTGATTTGCATTTTTTAAAAAGATTAGGAGTAAGATTGCAATTTATTCTTTATTTTTCTTTATTTTTGTGTTTGTTTTATGTTAATATAAGGGTAAAATGGTCAAAAAGGACGTTTTGCGCAAGAAAATGTAAAGGTAGGGACGTTCTGCGTCAAAAAATCAAACGTATGAATGTTTTCCACAAAACCAAACAAAGGTAGGGACGTTTTGCGTCAATTACCCTTTTTTCAATATTAAACTCACATGGACCCCACTCCGTGTGAGTTACCTGTTCAAAATCTGTTCACATGGGGTATGTGCAAATGGCTTTTTCCAATTGAGATTCCATTGTACACGCAATTTCAAATTCTATCTTTTTGGTTTCGGTTTTGCTACCGGTACATCAAGATGTACATCGGGGTGTACACCCCCCTCACATAGGGATGGAGCCCACTTCAATAAAAAAAAATATTTTACACAAGTGGACCCCACCCTCATGTGAGTGAAATGTACACCTTTATGTATAATTCTTGATGTACAAGTAGAATAATTCTTTTGGTTTTTACAATCTGGGCCATTTGTTTGACAAAATCATAAATTCTATACATTAGAGGTAATTTTCTTTTCAGGATTTCATTTTGTACATTCGTTTTGTTGAATTTGCATGTAATTATTTCTTCTGAAGCCATGTATATGCTTTCCAAGGTGTTATTCATTGTTGCAACGTATATGAATAATTATGTTGTATCACATCTGCGGTGTTACGCCTTTCTTTTAGTACTGTGTTGCGAGACTAACACCAATACATAATTTTTAAAACCTGCATCCATGTTTGTTAGAATGCTGCCACCAATACATGTCAAATTACATAATTTTTAAAACCTGCATCCATGTTTGTTAGAATGCTTCCAACTATACGAATGCATCCATATATCTGCACGAGTACACAGCAGAATTTGTGAGATGCTTGGATTCATGGAAACTCAGTCTCATTTTCCATTGCAACACTGGAAATCCAACATATATTTACGGTTATGCTACATGTACATTATGATTTTCATACACGTGATGTAATGAAATTTAATTGGGTCATAATACTTTAAACCAAATAATTTTTCCACTATTTTTGACACCTCGTAAACCATTATGTAACTCATGTACAGGTAACATTATCCATATATTTATAACGATAATTCCTAACAACTTCAATGCACGTATGTGAACACTGGATTAACTACATAATATACAATATATGAACCACGTGCAATTCTAGAATAAAAATATACGAAATGATATATTACAAATCTGAAGATAATTCCTTCACATAATCTGATAGTTCACGAAAAAGTCCTAAATAAAGATAAATAACAACTAGTAAATAGTTTCGAATGACTTCAAAATGTCGTATCTATAGAAAACTTTCATCCTTCCTTCAAATCTGTCGTGGGGATCCATGTAGAATATTCATTCCTATTGCAGGAAAATTGAAGAATTGACAAAAAAAAGAAAATTAGGACATGTTAAAAAACATACAAAGTGCGTCACAAGTGTGATTTCATTCATATCATGTGACTTCATAAAAAAATTGATAAAAGGTTAGACTACTCCCACATACCAAATGAATACAAACCATGAAGAGTTATGATCAATCCACTGTAATGAAACAAAATGCATTTCCTTATTACTTGCATTACTGTGTCTCAAACACAAACGACGTTTGGTATATAATGTGTCTTGGATGAATGAAATATAAATATATTATCCAGATTTCATTATATTAAGGCCTTGTTTGGCCTCCATTATTTCAAAAATGCATTTTTCTCTCTTATTTTTAACCACGTTCTCTAATAAAATAATATTACACATAAACTCAAAATCTTTTCTTATTTTTTAACCACACTTCCTCAAAAAAACACTATTTCCTAAATACATTTTCCTCAAAGTTTGTTTTTAATGGAGCCCAACAGAGGCTAAGAGTTGATTTCACTTGATGTTACTACTTTTAGATTCAATGAAATATAAAGTATGCAGTAAGAAAAAAGATGGCATGTAACATGAGTGTACAATATCACAACACTGGAGTGTAACTTGATAAAATATTGCATGACATGACTCGTCAGACATGTAACACTATGCAACCAAGATTGCACAAACCATTAATAGTAGCGTGCAGTAACAAGGAAAACACATTTTCATAATCATAATACGAAAGAGAATCAGTTTAATGGGACAAGGTCTATGATTGAAAATTTCACCATCTTTCTGTTTACCTTGTGTAAATTTGAGTGTTCAATTTTGAGTATGAAATCTTGTGTCTAACAAATACGAACCAAAGAAATTTCAGAAAAATACAGAAGTCAAAAATTATTGGAGAAAAATTCATTTCCACTTCAAAGAAAAAAAACATTCATATAAAATTGTTTTGACCATTTTGGCGAGTTTGAAGTTGTTTTGTATATTTATATTTAAGATATCTATAACGTTTGATCATGTCTCCGAAGCCAGTAGTTAGACTGCAGGAACTCAAAATTTTCGAAGTGATTTGTGAGATCATATAGTTCAATTGAGGCTTTATGGTGATTCAGAAAACCTAGCTTCAGTGAACAATATTTCTTTGCATACAAGTTGAGATAGATGGGGTTGAGATCGTGTGATTAGTGATTGAACGAAAGGGATAATATTCAGCCGTAAATTGGTGAAATTAGGCAAAATAAGTGGGTCTTAAATGGAGTGAGGGACAGAGAATATTGATAGATTTTTAGGAGTGAAAGTGATTACTCGTTTATACTATTAAAATACAGTAATAGACGAAATAAAAAGAGGTGTTCGGCAATTTTTAAATTTTTTTGTGTAATGGGGTTAGTTGATGTAATTCCCTCATTTTTTATATGTTTTAGTTTATTTTGTTTGAATAATAGAAATAATATTGAATTTATATTACTGTTTAGAGTAAATAAAGATTTTGCATATACTAGAACAAGAATTGCCAATTGAAAACTATACAATAAACCAATGAAACATAGAATTTTGGATCTCTAAAGAAAAAGCAGTGGAAGAAAATAATGAAGGTACCAACATTAAAGAAAAAAAACGACATATTACCAAACATCAAACCAATGCAAGCAAATCAAAAAAATTTAATCACATTATTAATAAACTGAACTGTACTAGTGTATAATCCTATTTGATATTATAATAATGATGATGACTCGTAAAGAGGAGTGATTTGAATGATAAGAATGATGACTCGAAAAGAGGAGTGACTTTCAAAGCTCAAACCCGAGATGAAGCTCTACCCACCGGCTCTGGAGACATAATCAAATGTTACAGAAATCCCAAATACGAATGTACAAAAAACTTCAAACTCACCAAAAGGGTCAAAACAAATTTACAATTCTCTATGAAGTGGAAATAAATTTTTCTTTGATGATTTTTGACTTTACTCTATTTTTCTGAAATTTCTTTGAATCATATTTGCCAGACACAAGATTTCGTACTCAAAATTGAACACCCATAGGTAAATTTTCACTGACGTACAATTCTTATCTTTTCTTGAAATTTCTAGCACTTTACTCATTATTCCTTGTTTCAGCATTTATCCTGTCATTATTGATATTATGTGTTACTTCACTCTATATTTGCAGTTTGGAATTTTTGATAAAACCCTGTTTATAGGTTTTCACAATTTTTAGTGTCTTATTCATTGATTATGATCTATTTTAACTCTCTATGACTGTTGATATTCTGTATAATTATTTTATACGTTTTATTTCTTGAGCTTGTGTTTTATACATTTATGATTGCCAGATTTTGTATCATTACTGTTTTTCTTTCCTATTTCAACTAATATTTGTTGTTTCAAATCTTTGATAAACTTCTTCTTTGCTTTATCAATAGGTTCATTAATGGAATTACTGATAAAAACCTAAAATATGTAGAGGATGAGCTACATTAGTAAGTATAATAGCCATTTGCATGTTTCAATTTTCACATTTAATGAGTTTGTGACTTTGACAGAGGCACTCAAAGTTGCGTTCGACTCCAAAACCTAAAGAAAAATTTCGTATGCATCCACCATAACGGGGAAATTCCTCCTAAAATATCGACGTATTCTTTCAATACCTAAACAATATTACTGTTGAACTAGCCTTGACAGTTAATAAGGGATTTGAACTTGAATGTTTGATTATCTTAGTTATCACGTGAAATATAATTGGCATTATTCTGCCATTGATTATGTTAGACTAAATTTACATGCTGAATTGGTAATATTACAAAAGTATTAAAACTATAGCCTATATATGAGGTTTTCTGCATTCAACTTTACACCAATGTATGAAGATTGAAGTTAAAGAGCTCTCATTCTCTTGAACTTTTATGAAATTTCAAAAACAAAAAAATCTTAATTTATTTCGTTGATAACAAGATGCAGATGGATGAGAAATCCGGTTTTTTATAAGGAAAAAATGCAAATTATGTCTCTTTTGGACACATCTGATTCTGGTGCCCTATACGGTTCCTGGTGCAACAGCCTACGAAATAATACAAGCAAAAATTTGATACACCGAGTCACTAGACGTAGAATTTCACCATTTCACATGCAATTTATGGTACGAAGTGAGAGATTTGGGAACCAAGAAATAGATAAAGTCAAATAAGAACATAAATATATATTTCACTTCAAACATGCAATCTATCCAATTTTATGGTAAGTACACACGAGATTTGAATCCCAGTTCACAAAATTATTCTACTACACAGATGGTTCAGATTCAACAACAATAAATTTAAGGTCACGTTCTTGAGATTTAGTCAACAACCAGACATGAAATAGAAACATACCTTGATCACTCCACTGAAATTCCAGAAGAGATGCAAAGTTTTGAGTCCACACCACCACTTATCACACTATCATCTTTCCACCAGTCGGCACATAACACCTATATTAAAAATGCCAGATCATTGAAGTAATGAAGTAACTGTTATGATTGAGTTTAATACTTAAAGGGCGTGTTCGGCACGCAGTACTAAATATGACTGTACAATAAAATAGACTATTTCATCTTCTTTTTCTTCCTTATTAATACTATCTAGTCCAATCCACCTCTACACCTTACCAAACTGGCCAAAAGTGGAAACATTGGATTGGGGGAGTACCTTGTTCTTATGCGAGTCAATCACATGCAATGCAAACTGCAAAAGGGAACACATGATTCAGACAAATATTTTGTCAAGGCACATAGAGCATAAAGTAAAAGGAATGACAGAATTGAATACCGTAGTTCTCAGATCCCATATCATAACTTTTCCATCATATGATGCAGAGACCAAGTGAAACCATGATTTATTGTGCCATTTGCAAGAAGAAATCCAAGAATTATGTTGTGACAATTGAAAGATAGGATCATATTTCCCTGCACAAACAAATTCATGCAAGGCAAAAATAGTATCAGTAATTGGGGATCTCAATGTACAAAATGCAAACGCCTTAATAGTAGCATACACACGCTTGTATATATTTACGCAGGCATCCAGAGAGAGAAACCTGGCTTGCGAGGATCCCATATTCGAATTGTAGGGTCAGAACCGCCAGCTGCAATAAGGGTAGAACTTTCACCTCCAATATCAAGACAATTGATAGCCTTGCCACAGAACTGAGAGAAGATTAAATAGAAAGTCTGTCAACTTCTATTTTCAATTATAATGACTCCATTTAGAATTTTGCCATACGAGTTATCATAGCATGCCAGCAAATGAAGCTCGTGTAATTCTTATATTAAGCCATCTGATAAAAATATTAAATATAATAATGCCAGATATGATATCAAACACCTTTGAAGTAAAACAGCTTCTAAAAATTAGGAATTTTAAGTTTGTATCAGGTTACACTGTGAGCTTTAACAAAGTCTCCAAGTCATTTCAAAAGATAAAGCCAAGGCCATTGTTAAAAGTGATCACTGATAATGATAAATAAGGCTAAACCTTTCATTTGTTTCTTTTGGCAACACTTTCTCTAATATTAATGACTAGATATGACCAAAATTTTAAATTCAAGACCACTTTTGACATTGATCCAGGAGATGGTGAGGTTTGCATATCCATTATGGATCAGGGTTGGGAATTTATTACTAGTTCTAGTAAAGGTAGGTTTGGATTGCTTAACTTGACATATTTACATTGAGACCGATCAAAGAATGCCCAAACTGAGAGGCTTTGACAAAAAACCTGTACCAATTTTTGAACTGTTTCAAAAAGAATCTAGCTATGATGCCCCGACACAGACACGTGTGGGATACGCTGACACGCGATTTTTCAAAAAGTACTGACATGACACATCGACGACACATTAATTAATATCTTTAAAATTCTTCATTCATATAGTCTAAATTTAGTTTTATATTTGTTATTAATTTTTCTTGTTAAAATATTCTAGATATGAGTACTATTTGTTATTTACTAGTAACTTTGTGTTAAAAATACATAATATTTGCAATAAAAAAAATAATCATGGTAGAGTGTCCGAACAAAGTGGGTATCCGACACGTGTATGACACAAACGCCATCCTAGTTGAAGTGTCCGCACAACAAAGGAATCTAAAGACTAAAATGGCTTTTAGGGGGTTCAAACTGGCACCCTTGAAATTGATCTATGTCAATGCTACCTAATAAATTACAATTATGGTATCACATAAAGAATAAACAGAAAAAAATAAAAAAAAAAAATAAAGAAGAAGAATCAAACATTAAAAATTTCTTGTTTTAATTAATCATTATGACCAATTTCAAACTATATTAAAAATTTATTTAAATAAAAGTATTATAGTCTATATGATTCAAGGATTTCAAATAAGCAAACTGATTACTCAAAGAGTTCATTCATCATACTGCCACATGATGAATGAACTTGATAGAGCTTTTCTTAAATTACGACTAGAATGGAAAGAGGTGCCCACAAATGACTTTAACAAATAGTTTTTGCTAAGTGACTCACAGAGGAATGGGAATGAGATGTCATAAAATATATTGCAAGAGTTAAATAGTATCCAAAATGTTGATTGTGGAGCATCTTTTGAAGTAAAATCTAAAATCATATCAACATCATATGACAAAAGAAATGAAGTATTGAGTCAAAGTACAGGTTGCTACAAAATATTTGAAGTATGAAAAAAGAAAACACCAGTATTATGTCTTTAATATTTAAAATGGAAAAAAGAATAAGAATTTTATATTTAAATTACTATGCTACTTTACTTTATAAAATCCATTTTTTAAAAATTATAACAAGACTTAACGTTTAAACTATATTCGTTCCTCATATTTCTGATAAAAGATATCTTATATTTAGACCCCCGACTATGACACAGAAGTTAAACCACAATACCACTGGGTGAACCACTGACCTACTCACCCAGGGCTTTAGCCAGTTTAATTGACCTAGTCAGGTTATATATATATATTTATGGAAACAATACAAAAACATGCATATTGCATGCTACATACAAGTAAATTTGTTCATTTTTTTTCTTTCCTCTTCCAAACCTGCACGCTACAGGTTTGATAATTATGCTCTATATAATTCTTGTATACACGAAGCACCCCTTTTGTTTTTTATGTAATAAAATATGGGTTTAAGGAAACAAGAAAACACACGCTCAGTGCATGCTATGTACAAGTAAATTTCGTTTTCATTCCTCTACACAGGAGAAGATGGGGTAGATGAAGGTAGCTCTCTCACCATGTTTAGTGAATCTTTGCCAGTCTCAACATCCCATCTTCTAATAGAATGATCCCATGATGCTGAATAAATTGTCTCATGTTGCGGCCAGATCACAGAAGAGACACATTGCGTGTGCCCAACGAGAGAAGATACAGCCTCCCTCTGCGCACCAAAGATGGTCATGAATTTGGAGACAGATTTTGTCCTTGCAAACAATCAAAAGCTATAATTTTTTATTATTCTCATATAACTAGCAGATACAAGTACCTCAGATTGAGGTTCCGCATCTCTGGGACCCTTTTTCCTCTTCTTCACTGAAACTATATCACCTCCAGCATCAGAACCATTTGCCTGCCACAAGTTGATTGCGGAGTCCCAAGAACCCGAACACACCTAAAGGAAACAGGAAGTACATGGTAAAGGCTTCCAAATTCATTCACAAGTAATATAATGTTGTGAACAAGAAAATCTAGGAGAAATACCATATCTCCAGAAGGCTGTGCAGCAATGCTCTGCACAGCAGCATTATGACCTTTTAGTATCTTGAATGCTCTAATCTTTTTTGGTTGAGCCGACTCTCCTGCATCAAACTTTCATGCAAAATAGATAGTTATCAGGAAATGAACTTTAATGGGGCAGAGACCAACTCCTATTTCTAGCAGAAAGGTATCTTTCAAGTACCTTCCACAACCTCAGAGACCTGTCTTTAGAAGCAGTTGCTAATAGTTGATCGAAAGCACTCTCGACTGCAGAGGAAAAAAATACTACATCAACAGACATAAGAAAAATGTTTAAGGATGCTATCAAATTAATTATCTCCAGAGAAAAGTGTATAATGAAATATTCAAACTTCGTCATGGAAGGAAAATCGACTACTAATATTTAGGTTTATTCCACGTAGTGTCAATCAATGTTTGAGGGACAAGGTGACTGTTGTCTGATTCAAAAATTTCAAGTTCTACTGGAGTTTGAATGGCCAACATCGAGTGAGATGAGAAGTGCAGGGAGGATAGGGGATTTATAAAAACTCCTAAGTTTCAATGACTTTCAAGCCATTTCAATAACCCAGCAGACTTGAAGCAGATGCCACAAGGTTATATTCACATTCACATTGTCCTAAGCAGAACCAATCGGTCCTAGGTCCACCTGGCCCTCACATAAAGCAATCCTCCTAAATTACCATTGAACATAAATTGAGGAATGAAGACAATGACGAAACTTGTAGTATGTTCTATCACAATGTAAAGATTTAATATACATCGTAAAACCTATTTTTAGCAAGAGCTCCGGGAATGTGATTTCAATTACATATGCGCCAAATCGTATTATACTGAATTTTAATCAAAATATTGGGGCACCATGTGTCACTTAGGTTTTAAGAAAAAACAAGACATAATTGTTAAACAAAGAGATGTAAAGATTAATTCACAAGTTACAACCATCCCCATGAGAAAAAAGGCACACGCATGCTTGCACACATGCACAAATACAATGTTTAAATAACAATATCAAATTAGCTAATGATTCAGTAATATGTTCAAAATGGGATTTGACGTCTACTAATTTTTTGTCATATATAATCAAGTGCCTACCGTGTACAGCAATTAAAATTTGTAAAACCAGAATAGCATAAACACTAGCATATTCAAAATACCCTTGTACCTTTTGGCTTAATGACACAAACTGAAGTAATTGGGCCAGTATGCCCTTCTAATACATGTGTACAAGTTCCAGCATCTTTCCATATCCTATGAGGTCCCAGCCAAAATTAATTGCAATATCAAATTTCAGTTATAAATAACCACATAGAAGAGTAAAATGATTAATCAATTGACATTTTTATACTATTACCTTCCCAAACCATCATAGCATCCAGTCAAAATGTACCTGTAACATAAAGTTCAAAGAGGTTCACCTTAGTGCTGATGTGATTGGAGGATTAGGGAAGACAGACGTGAATCCTCCCCCAAATTAGTATTTAAATGAGGAAAAATAACATGTGATTAACATTTGAACGTATAAAGAAAGCAAAATGGCATGACAGCCATGCAGGTTAATTCCTACCCTTCATTTGAACCATCGACAGCACTAACCCAATCATCGTGTAAAGAAATATCTTCTCTTCTCGGGGCCACAACTTTGATGTATTCAATTTCTATTACTCTTTCCTGCAGATCACCAACCATAGTTTAAAAAAATGATCATAAGAACCAAAGAAGACAAAATATCATGATGGCATCGACAACTATCAAAGATCAAAACACTTGAATCGCCAGAAATACAGCCCCAGAAAAATTAATAACTCCTGATGCTCTAAAAAGTCAGATTAGATCAATTCTATTAACCTTCCAAACACTACAAGCCAAATTCATTTCTAAAGCCATATGCTTTATCTTTTGGGTGAAGTTCTTCGTTAATAGATTGGTAAAATTACACACTGTAGCAACCGATATACAATTTTGTAGTCCAAGAGCTTTACGACAAAAGCACTAAACACCGATTCTTAAACAAACTTACAGCAGAAATGCCTTTGGAAAGAAGAAAATCTTCAAGCGACGTCCGAAGAAATCTTCCATCTATTAGAAAATCAAAAGGCTGGTACTGCCAGTCATCAACTCCTGTACATAAATCAGATAACAATCATAAGCCAACACAACATAAATTAGGAGCTTCTGGCAACAAAAAGCAATGAAATTCAACAATATATCACCACCAAGAGAAACGTATCAAACTCTGTAACTATAAGGTAACTCTTGCATTACTGTCAAGATACACGAGTTACTTATTTATAATTTCACAAGCAAAACACCATTAATTTTAAAATGTTATTTGTTAATTAAAGCCAAAACTCTTTACATCTTAGCCAAGCTGCCAAGCATGCAATTTATTCCAAAATAAACGAAAACGAACAAATTGAAAAAATAAGTAAAAGTTTGAAAAACTAATACCGGCTTCCAGGATATTGTTGACTATATTGGAGAGGCGCAAGCGGGTGATATTCGTAGGAATGGCAAGGGAACTTGAAGGTGCTTTATATGGTGGATTTAGCTTTGTTACAAACCGGACTTGCACCTGCCTCGACGACTCTTCTACGCCGTCAATATCCATTTTCGTCTATCTGTGTGAAATGTGCGTCGTATATCGGATTGGAGTTGAACTGGAAGCGGAGGAGGCAGGCTAGGGTTTTAACTTCTGAGAGGAGAAGAATTAAGGGTTTTAACTGAAACTTTTTCCGTACAACTGATCTGAGCAAGTTAATTTGTATTTGTTCTCAAACAAATGAAATCGTGTTTATTTTTTTTAGGGTAAAAATCGCGATTCCTACAATAGAGTTAGATTTTTAGAGTCCGTTTCATTGTAAGGGTTAAAAATAAGTTGAAAGAAAATGAATTTCAGAGAAAATAATTACATAGAATTTGTTTTTTAGGGAATTGTTAATTAAGTGTGTTTGATGGTATAATTTTCCACCCGAAAAATTTTAAAATTTTGGATCTTTTTATGTTCATTTGGCCTTATTTTACATAAAAATTGTCCATTAAAGTGATATTTTTTCCACGATTGGTTAAAAAATTTATTTCCATTGCCAAAAAGTTAAAAAAAAAAAAACTCATTCCAAGAAAATCATTATTTCATTGAAGTTTAGTGTTCGTTTAGTTTTGTTTTACATGAAAATTGTCCATTAAAATGATTTTATTTTTTTACAATTGGCTATAAAATTTCTTCCAAATGCCAAAAAAAATTAAAAAAAGTGGAAATCTAATTCCACAATTTCCTTGAAAATGTGCACATGTGGAGTGAAGTGGGAAAAAAATTTCCATAACAAAAAATGACTATCAAACAAGTCAAACATGGAAAAAGAAAATTGTTTTCCATTTTTCATGGAAAACAACGGTTATCAAACATAGCCTTAGAGTAAATATAAAAAGGACAAAACCTCTGAACTCACTTTCTAAATTAAAATGTTAATCTCACTAAACCGTCACCTATAGATCCACATACCACCACCTTCTGGCCACCACGTCCGCCGGATTCCACCACCATTATCCTCGCTTCACTCTCCTCAACATCCTCTCACACAGTATTGGTCACAAAATCTGTCGAAAACAGCCACATTTGCAGCTTAAAATACTAAATTGCCGTATACAACCCTTCACGGTAACCCCACTTTCGGATCCACCCACGATCGCGCACCACCACCGACGGTTACCCCCTCACCTCAACGAACTTATACATGGTCTCACATCAATCAAACCTACCTCAAATCATTCTACTGTAATCTAGACTTTCAACAGTGGCGACGTCCATTTTGCCAAACTCTTCTCCTTCAATTCATGCATCCAACAACACTAAATTCCCAATTGGCATCAATCGAACCATCAACAAATCCAAACGACAATGGGTATGAATCTAATTGAACCAATTATCTCTCTCAACCGTTTCAATTTCTGGTCCAAAACTCTCCACGGCGCAATGTATGGAGAGAGCTATCTGACCGAAATTGGTGGGTCTTAAGTGCTCTAATCTTCAAATTCGTGTGAGGGAGGACGGTGGGGGAGTTAAGCGAGATTGGTGGTGGTGGAGTCCGATAGGCGTGGTGGCTGAAAGGTGGTGCTTTATGGCAGCTTCGTAGGTTATGAAAGTGGTGGTGGTGGAGAATTTATGATTTTTTTGTAATTTTTTAAAAACTTAATAACCATAGTTGTAGTTGGTTATTCATCCTTTTTCTTTATGTTTCATTTGAATAGGAGGGTAAAATCGTCTTTTATTGAAAAAAGGTTGAAAAGGACATTTTGTGCAATGAAATGTAGAAGGTAGGGATGAAAATGCCAAAAAATAAAAGATGAGAACGTTTTGCACAATGACATTGAAAGGTATGGATATTCTGTATTATTTACCCTTAAATGTATTCAAAATATTTCAATTTTCAATGTATGAGAATAATAAAATAATATAAAGAAAACCTAATTAAAATAAAAGATAAAGAAAAATAATAAATATTTTTTGGGAGTAGCAAAATTAAGTATTAAATATAATGAGCTTGTTGGAATATTTCAAAATTTTAACCATCATACTTTCCAAACGATAGAATGTGCTCTTTTAAAATAGAGAATCTCTTGGAGATACTCTTAAAAATGTTTTAAAATTCAACTTGACCGATTCAATCGAAAAAATCACGAATCAGAGTCAAAATTGGTCCGTTTAGGCATATAAAACCTATATTTAAAAATTCGTCCTAAAATTCATTAAACCGATCGATTTTTAAAAAACTTGTGACTCGTTTTTAGTTCAGCGTGTTCAACATATGTAAATGTATATATTTTTTAAAAATTTTAAATGTATATATATATTTTTATTTTTGTAAATGTATATTATTTTAATTTTTTTAAAAAAAAATCACCGATTCGATTCTCGTTCAACCATTTGACCCTTTCTTTTTTCCAAGTCGATTTTTAAAACATAAAAACTATTTTGGTCGCCAAGTCACTGAACTTTCAAAAGTTTAACTATAGTAACCAAACCTTTATTATCATAGATAGTCTCCAAACTTACAATGTTGTTTCAGTTAAATCACTTTTTCATGGAAAAATTTTCTAATACTTCGGGGGTATGGAGTACTCCGAACTCACTATTATTAAATAGTTGGGACCTAATATTCGATTGAGATACAAACATAAATGAATAATGCATGTGTCAATTAATTAGTCATATGAAGTACTGATTTCTATATTCTTGGAAGTATTAGAAATTATATCATTTTCACTTAACATATATAAATTTAACTATTTTATTGAGATTAATGACCTTATTGATAGGGCACTAATTTGGTTTCGTAACCTCCATCTACATATTTTGATCTTTCTTTTAGGGTAATTAGCATATAACGTCCCCATCTTTCATTGTTATCGTGGAAAACATCTATACCTTTCATTTTTTTGGCATTTTCACCATTATTTTCACATTTCATTGAGCAAAATATCATTTTCATTCGTTTTTTCAATTAAAAATTGTGAAATGACGAATATACCATCCTCTTTAAATAAAATAAAAGGAAAAAAAGAAAAAACTAATTGCAACCATAGTCTCATTTTTTAAAAAAAAAGCGCAAATGAGTCCAAAATAAATTATTAAAATGGTAATTAGTACATAATGCCCATACCTTTCACTATTATTGCGAAAAAGTCACTATCTTTCATTTTTTGACATTTTCACTCTTAATTACACATTTTATTGTGCAAACCATCATTTTCATCTAATTTCTCAATAAAGAATTGTTAAATAATGAATACACCCTCTTATTTAAATATTTTTATTAATTTCTAATTCTTTAATAATTTAATTGGGATTCGTTTGCACTTTTTAAAAAAAATTGGGACTATGGTAGGAGGGTATATTCGTCATTTCACAGTTTTTTATTGAGAAATTGGATGAAAATTGATAGAAAGAATGGTTTGCGTAATCAAATGTGTAATTATGGATGAAAATGTCAAAAAAATAAAAGGTATGAATTTTTTTACAATAATAGTGAAAGGTAGGGACATTATGTGCTAATTAACTTTTTAATAATTTATTTGAGACTCATTTGCTCTTTTTAAAAAAAGTTAGAACTATGATTGCAATTAATTTTTACTTTTTCTTTTTGTTTTATTTAAGTAGAAGAGTATATTCGTTATTTTATAATTTTTAATTGAGAAAATAGATGAAAATAACATTTTGTGCAATGAAATGTGGAAATAAGGGTGAAAATGCCAAAAAAGAAAGATAATGACATTTTTCACAATAACAGTGAAAGGTGGGGACGTTATGTACTAATTACCCTTTCTTTTATTATAACCCACCAGTTTATTCATTAAATGCTGAGATCAATGCCACTTAGGATATTATTGTCATCATTTTCATTTGACACAAATATTGGTATGAACATAAGCAAATTTATTAAATCAACTAACGTCATGTATTAGTAACTTCATTTAAATAACTTTGTAAGTTATATGATTTTTTATATTCATGTTTTAGCTAAAAAAATTGATTAAAAGAGAAGTCAAATCAAGAATTAGGCCCTGTCTGGGCGCCTTTTTCTGAGGAAGAAATTGATTTTTTGCCCGTTGCAATATGACATTTTTGACCCATTCTTTCACGAGTGGGACCTACTGACCATTCCCAACAGATATGTTTTGGATTTTAATTTGAAAAGAAGCTGCACCAGACAGGTGCTTAATTTGAATCACATATTTCATAAGATCCACAACTTTTCAGCCACACATTCCATTAATTTTTATTAAAATTTATTAAAGTCTGATTTATACCTAAACCAATAAATCTCTCTAATTATGTGAATCTTACCTCGATAGTTTGTGTCTAGACAATTTGTCAGTTTCACATTGATAGTTAGTCTTGTTTGAGCTCCACTATTCAAAATTCATTTTCAATCAAACATTCTTTTAATAAAATAATTTTGATATAATCCAAAATTTTTCTCACTTTTTAATCACGCATTCTCCAAAAAAATTATTTTACAAAATATATTATCGAAAAATAGGGCTCTAAACTTAAATTGTAATCAACATTAATGATTAAACAAAAGAGGCTTAGCTATCATATCATTATATTATTAAATTCTTTGAAATCAATCTGGATAAATCGGTTTGATGAGAAAAATTGTGAACTAGTCCAGCGATCGATTCTATTGTAACCTTATAATCGCAAATATAGAAACCAATAAAAATTTGGTAAAATAACCGATTCGATCAGGAACCGATGAGCAGGACACGAAGTTGCCAATTTTTTCGGTTAGCTTTCAGGAAGGAAAAAAAAATAAAAATAGCAGTAGCAACAGCATAGAGAAAAGGCCCCTGTTTGACACCCATTTAATTATGGATGAAAATGTCAAAAAAAATAAAAGGTATGGATATTTTTTTACAATAATAGTGAAAGGTGGGGACATTATGTGCTAATTAACTTTTTAATGCTTTATTTGAGACTCATTTGCTCTTTTTAAAAAAAGTTAGAACTATGATTGCAATTAATTTTTTCTTTTTCTTTTTGTTTTATTTAAGTAGAAGAGTATATTCGTTATTTTATAATTTTTAATTGAGAAATAGATGAAAATG